AAAAAAAAAAAAAAAAAAAGAAAAAATAATAATGAAAAATGAACATCATTTTGAGTTTCCCTCGAGTTCAGATTTAAGGGGTGGTTTCTTTTCTTGGAATTGTGGAATGTTGTTGAACACTGAGAGTATGGATTGTTGGATTCTTTGGATACGAATGAAAAACGAGTAGGATTGGGCTTTTCTAAAGTTGAAATTTTAGAGGGTGATTTTCTTGGCATTGAGTTGTAGAATGTTGTAGTTATAGAATGTTATTGTAGAGTGAATACGAACCAAAAACGAATATAGTTGAATTTTCCTTGAGTTGAGATTTAGGTTTTTTTTTTTAAAGTTGAATAGTAGAGTATGGTTGGATTCTTTGGATACGAACGAAAAATATGCACAATTCAGTTTTGCTTATGTTGTTTAAGGAGATGGTTTTTTGAAGCAGTTTGTGGAAATTGTATTGTAGCATATAAAAACGAGTAGAATTGGATTTTCTTTAAGTTAAGATTTAGAGGAATTTGTAGAGGTTATGTTAGAGAATGTAGAATATGTTGTAAAGGTTATGTTATAGAATGTGGAATATGTTCTGGTTATGATGTAGAATGTGTGTAGAGGTTATGTTGTAGAATGTGGAATATGTTGTAGAGGTTATGTTACAGAAATAAAAATTGTTGAATTTTTTGGATTTTGAAGAAGAGAATTGAGTATCATTTGAAATAAATACATAATTGTATGTTTGAGTTTGAAATGTGACTTTTCTTAATATCAAGAATATAAAAATGAATAAAACACGAAGATTTTTACACATCTTGTTCTTACAACAAAGTTTTACGTAAAGCACTGAATTTTGTGATAATATTTCTTTATGTTGAGGTAACATCGTTCAAAGAATTGTTAAATTCATTTTTGCGAACATACTCAAGAACTCGAAGTTTTTATGAATGAATCCTCGAGCGAATGAATTAAACCTGGAGTATTCATTCAACTTTACATTCAAACCTATTACTTGCATTTCTTCGAATGTTAAAAATTAAGAGAGTCAGAAGAATGGTATCGATATTATCAATAGAGTAATTCAAACCAAGATCGATCCTAATGGACTATTTTAGAGATCGAAATATCAATTCAGAAACGTGAGAAAGATAAAGCTATTGTTTCGAGATAAAATTCTTGGTACTTTCATTTTGATACTTCTCTTGCTAAAAATTTTTTATATCAAAGCAACAATCATAATAAATTTTAATTCTTGCATCAAATTGTTCAATTTTATTAATAGCATGGAGTACCTACGCTGTAATTCTATTTTAATAAGATAATAGAATCGTTAATTCCAAGAAACAGTGTCAATTGCCTAAGTGATTTGATTCTAATCAAACAATGGATATGCACTGGTCACGAGGGTTATAACGAGACATTAAACTCTTTAATTCTAACGAACGTCAATTCATTCAATTTGTTATATCGAAGCTATGTTTTGATGTTCTTCTTAAAATCATATTAAAAACCTATTACTTTACAAATATAAACATCAATCTTTCAAGAACCAAAATATAATTTTTCAATTTCTTAAAATTTCATAAAATTCCACGTACAATCTAGATGGAAAATATTGGTAATAATGGAATATATCAAACTTTGCAATTCCCTTCCGTAGCCCCAGTATTAAAAAACAGAATTTAATAATATAAATTAAGTGAAAAAAGTTCAAGAGTACAAATTCCCCTATCAAAGCGCAGTAAAAAAACAATCATTGTTAAACTTTATAATGACGTATTGACAAAAATTGAAACCCGCCTCCAG